CTACCTACACAGAGAACAACACACACACACAATAAACGCACACAGACATCCATGCCTCGAGTGGGATTCGGACACGCGACCCCAGTTTTCGAGCGGGCAGAAACAGTTCTTGCCTCAGACCGCGCGGTCACTGTGATCTGCCATCTTGGTTATACCTAGCTTAATAACAGACAGTTGTTTAGTTCGCTTAAGGAAGGCCTATAGTAATACATGTTACTCACAAAAAATAAAAGAAGGAATAATGAAGGAAAGAGATGTGCATGTCATATTATGAGCACCTGACGGCCACTTACAGGATGCGTTTCCAAGGAATGGATGAAGGCCACCTTGAGGATAATGGCATTCAAGTAACACTGTATGGAATCTTTTTGAAAAGTTGCTTTGTTAGTAGCCAGAAGTATAACGTGGTATTTAGTTCTCTGGGTAAAGCTATTAACAGGACACACACATTCTCTTTTGTAGTCACAAAAAGTCAAATTGCATACACGAAGAAAATAAGAGCAGATTAAATTGGGGAATGCTTGCTACTCTCCAATTAAGAATAGTTTGTTTTCCCGTCTGCTATTTAAAACTATTATTTTATGTTTTGTTTTGTTTTGTGAAGGGAAGAAGGTCCATGTGTTGCCCTCAGCGTCCTGGTCTCTTTAACACCTTCACACCACTCTTTGGAGAGAGAATTTCTGTTTCAGCGTACAACGCGCAGTGCTTCTGCATGCTTGTTTATTGTGTTATGTCTTAACAGGCATTTTGCATGCTTCTTCCTTGATACATGGCGATCAGACTCTAAGTGAGCTCAGCCGATCACAGTGGCCGCTCGGTCTGAGCCATGAACTGTCTTCGCTCGCTCGAATGCTGGGATCGTGGGTTCCAATTCTATTCGAGGCATGGATGTCTGTGTTTGCGTTCTTTGTGTACGTAGCGGCCTTGCGACGGGTTGATCCCCGTCCAAGGAGTCCTACCGACTGTGTCTAGGCGTAAGAAACTGAAAAATCGGCCAAGTGTTTCGTAAACTTGGGCAATTGAGGGCCACTACATGGGCGGTCGGAGAACACGCAAAGGACTCTGCTGTTTCCCCTTGGCCGTAAAGAGCATGCAACTGTTTTTTTCTGCGAATAGGAGAGCAATTATAGTTAATATTGCCGTAAAATTCTATATCCATCAATTCCAAGTATTTTTTTTAATTATGTTATTTATTGCATGTCTCGTAATGCTATCACCATCTGGTGGACGACCACGGACCACAGTTTGAGAAACACTGTCTTTATGAATTTGCTATTGTTGTATAGAGCCGTAATATACGTTATGAGCATTTGAGAATAAAGTCTTCAGGGCGATGTTCGGATCAACGAAGTACAGGAGAACATAACAGAACGAAAAGTTCCAAAATGTGTATTATGTATCGGTGACTAAGACGCGGGGTTGGGTTGGTGAATTGGTTTATTGGATCTCCACTAGTCGTAACTACAATTAGTTCTTACACTCTCAAGATTACTTTAACTACAGTACGTAAAGTCTTCAATGTCTGTTAATACGTCACATCTGAATCCCTCACAACTTCTTTCCGTGACGGCTTTGTGCCCTTGACTCACGGCTTCTCAGCTATGACTGCAAACAACCTCCACGGTCCCCTACAAACCGTAGGCACGAACCCCATAGAAAACCCCTATTATTGTAGACGCTTACTGGGCATGGCGCGGACCACATTGAAAACATTCTTCTGTTGTCAGAATTGTAGCTTAACCTAGCAACGGACTCTTTACCAAGAATCTATCTTCGTGTCTTCGCGGGAACTTGTTTACCAACCCGTTGCCTAGCAATGGGCGTACATGTAACAGTATTATGGAGTGGAAATGACAGAATGTTTAGAATACACAGGAAAAAATGAGAAATTCACATGGAATTTTTATGGGCAAACTGAAGGTGAGAGACCACTTGCGGACCTAAGACAGTCGGTGGAAGGTCAGGACTGAATGAGACCTAGGACAAATGAATGTCTTCCGGTTCAGAATAGGGTCCAGTGGTGGACTTTTGAGAACACAGTGTTGTTTTACTTATTCTTTGTGTATTTAACGATGATTTCAATTGCTAAGATCCTGTATAATGCATTTGAAAGGAATGTAACAGAAGCGGTTCTGACCTGCTTAGAGGAGAGCCAGGCTTGCATAAAATAAGTGATTCTTGAGTAGATAAACAGCCGTCGATTCCTCAGGCTGGATCTTGTACCATGTAGTTAGCTATACGTATATACGTGTAAAGCCCGAAACGAGGTTTGACGCATTTGTTATCGTGTGTGTATAAAGCAATAGCCGCTCAAAATGTCACCATACCATGGCATCGTCTCTGTGAGCCTATGTCGAAAGTGTGATGTTCAGCTGTGTAGTATTTCAGAACGGAAGGCAATTTGCTATGACATCGCTGTCTTCAGTACTGCAATCTGCTTTGGGCTCAGACACCATTCAGAGTTANTATAAGAGACCACTGGGAAGACCAAGGCGTAGGTGGGTGGACACTATTAAAATGGATCTTAGAGAGATAGGTTGGAATGTATATGGATTGGATTGATCTGGCTAAGAATAGGGACCAGTGGAATACTCTTGTGAACACGGTAATGAACCTTCGGGTTCCATAAAATGCTGGGAAATTCTTCGAGTAGCTGCACAATTGGCGGCTTCTCCAGAAGGGCTCAGCTGCATGATTAAGTAAGTAAGTAAGAGGCGAATCAAGAGTTGGCGAAGTATGAAATATTTATGTTAGGTGATTTTTATTGCTAGTGGGGTGGGACTAAATCCCTTGTACTGCGGCCACTTCTGGCCTATTGTACCAGCCCCAGATGATAGGTGAGGGTGATTGAGGAGCAATTGGTTGAATGAAGATTGGCAGGGAAAACCGAAGTACTCGGACAAAACTTGCCCCAGCGCCACTTTGTCCACCACAAATCCCACTTGACCAGACCCGGTATCGAACCGGGCCGCCGCAGTGGGAAGCCAGCGACTAACCGCTTGAGCTGTGGCGCGGCGTTATGCTAGGTGATACCAGCGCATTACCCCAGGATCACTAGTTCACCTAGAGAAATAGTAAACAATATGGATAGTGGGTAGGCTAATTTATGTGACCTTTGAAGTTCTCATAGTGATGAATATGAGTATTACTGTGTTCTGTGATGTGACGCATGGACCAGCATTTTCTTGAAACCTGCTGCCTGCAGCTTGAGGCTACCTCTGAAACTGCGCCACGTTCAAGAATACAGCAGTCTTCAGGCTAATTAGTATTTTAATGCATATTTGAAGGCCAGGAGTCGGAATAGCTCAGTCAGTATAGTGACAGGCTACAGGCTGGACTGTCCGGGTTCGATTCCCGGCATGGCAAGATTTTTCTCTTATCCACGTTGTCCAGACCGAGTTTGGCGTCCACCCAGCCTCCTAACCAATGGGTACCGGCGGCGATTTCCCCGGGGGCAAAACGGCCGGGACATGAAGCTGACCACTAACCTTCAGCTAGTGCTGAGGTCAATAATGGTGGAACTATACCTACACTCCCCCATATGTCTTCATGCCATAGTGGTTAACTAATTAAGCACAGGGACAACTTTAACCTTTATTTGAAGGTGTAAGAACAGTTTCCAGTATAACCTTGGTGTTAACATCACATTAAGAAAATAATATACAACGAAGCACTGAAATTGCATTTCAAAGTATATATCTGCTGGTTAGTAATAATTGCACAATTTTGTCGTGACTTAATTGCGATAGAGTTCGTTTCTCGGGAAGAAGAAAAACATTCTCTGGTATTCGAACCTGAAGGTTCTGCACCACCACTGGATAAAGTCCTTAGTCAGTTCTCTCCATATCTCACTTATACTACGTACTTCCCTAAGCTCCAGCTCAGTAATGTCCTTTCATCTCATTTGTTGTCTTCCAAATAATTGTAAGATTTGAGGCTTTCACGGCGGTGACTATGAAGAAAGCAGTCTTCTGGGATTTGGCACTGTGTATGTGGTGTTAACACCACATATACACGGCGCCAAATCCCAGAAGACTGCTTTCTTCCAAATAATTGTTTTCCAAGACGGTTCTCCCACCATTGCCACTATTAAAGTCACACAGTCCTCACTATCCTGACAGCGTTAGAAGACCTGTATGAACCACAAAGTTATCATTATATAATATCCTAAATTACTGACCTTGTCCCTGTGAATTCAAAATATTGTCACGTATTATGGGTTAGCGTGACTAGTACTTGTGGGTTCTAGATTTAATGAAGCGGTAGCATAGTTGGTTGAGGCACTATGATGAAGCCGGAAGGTCGCGGGTCCGAGTCCCGATGAGGTGGATTTTTCAATTTACCTAAACCTTCCAGCCGCACTATGTCCCTGGGGACGACTCAGCCTCTAATAGAAATGAGTACCAGGTAAAGGTCGACCGGCTCGGAAGGCTGACAACCTTACGGCCGTCATTGAGCCGATTGTCTAAAGAAAATGTGGGAGCCTCGACATCTCACAACCTTATGGGCTTTCAGGGCCTGTTACAGGGATAGCTTTACGTTTTTCTAGATTTAATGATTGCATTTATTGCCTATTGTTTCCTAGAAACGGCCCATATGTCACAATATTTTCGAGTATTTAGTTTCCTGACAATTTATGTTGTGTCTTGAAGTAAGAGATCATGTTTGACAGCAGACATTGAAGATGATTATTTTATAAGCTTGTTATATCATAATTCTTGCTGTGATACATTTCCTGAATTTAATAATACAATTACTCACTTTATTCTTCCCTAAAAAATCCTTTTGATTCTGTTATTTTCAGATATATATTGAAATTTACTGAAAGATTTACACTGCCTTAAACTAGTCAAAGAACAATTCATCCACAACCATCTCATTTTATCATTCACAGCCCACTCTTAATTATAAGCTATAGCTCATAAATTAACCATCTGATAGTGCATTATAAATAAAGGAGGAATCAATCAGTACTTACCATAATCTGTCTTAATTTACAGGTTGGAAAGCAAATATGGCTGAGGCACGAGAGACAGTAGAAGCAGAAGCTGATGCAGGAGCTAAGGCATCTGCAGCAGAATCAAAGGTGCTTGGAGCTGAGGAAGCGTCTGGCGAAGTGTTGGACACATCAGTGTCCACCACCACTGGAGCAGCCACATCTACCATCAAAGTGCAGCAACAGCAGGAACCCCAGCCGCAGCTTCAGCACTTACCTAGGTAAGGAGCAGCATAGTGAGAATTGTAACACGGTAACATTGTCTATCCAGGTAACGAACATCAGCGAAACAGAGATCTGGATGGGCAGTAGGAATGCATTATGGGCCATAACACAGCAAATTGAACTGTCCCATCATCTGAACTGAGACCTGGTTTCTTCTGTAATGCATCCAGTAGTAAGGTCCGTAAAGGCCCATAGGATTGTGAGACGTTGAGGCTCCCACATTTTCTCTAGACAGTTGGCTCACTGATGGCTGTGAGGTTGTCAGCCTTACATGCCAGCCGCACTTTATCGCCCAGGAAGCTTCCTGGTACTCATTTCTGTTAGAGGCTGAGAGGACTCTAGGGCCATAACGATAGACTGAGAAATATTATAGGCAGTTTTGCTTCCAGTGGCTTCAAGTCAAGTTTTCTGTTTGTGTTTTCTCACCCTTGGCTGTAATGTAGTTGTTTGTTTTGTAAAATAGAAGTGACAGCAGTTCAAGTTTACCCCTTCAGATAGACATATTATATTAGCTTTAATAGCAGCAGTAACAGTAACAACAACAAGATTAATAATAATGCAGATTAGTATTTCTGCATTTGATAGGGTCTCTTCATGGAAGTATCTTCTTCTGCAAAAGTAAAAAAATATATATTTTCCTTTCTATCATGATGACAGATATGTTTCTGCAAAGGTAAAGTTGTCTATGTGCTTAGTTAGTTAAGGACTGCGCCATAAAGGCACGCGGGGGAGTGGAAGTATAGCTCCACCATTCTTGACCTCAGCAGTGGATGGAGGTGAGTGGTTACTGGTGCTGCTTACCCCCAGAATGTGTTTCTATAGAAAGGCTAATTTTGTTATGCAAAACATTCAAATAGACAAACGTTTAAAAGCAAATGGTAACAGATGGTTGTGAATATGAGAGATGAGGTTTCCTTGATGGCAAGTGTGAAGAATAGTCTTTTGGGGGTATGACACCATGTAGCCTGGTAGTAGTTTACTGACATTTCAGAGAAACATTGGCCCTGTCTTCATGATAGAGAAGTACTTCTGCACGAAACTTGCAGGCTTCATTTTTAACAGTTTGGTTGTGGTAAGCAATCATTCAGTGAATAATGTAAGTTGGATTGCAAGGGAAACTGCTGAAGCAACAGGCATTCTGAGAACTTCAGTCAATATAGAGGAGAAAATACGTCTGCAGTAAATGTCACAGGTAACTATACCTAAATACAGTGAAACTTCTATAAAAGATCACTCCTATTCAAAGACCACCCCTTTAAAAGACCTTATTTGTGTGGCATGTTTGCATTTTAGGCCACTTTAGTAAAATTCAATCCTTGTTTATAGACCACCCCTATCCCCCACTAGTGACCATGCCTGGTCTTTACCATACCCCACTGAAGGACACTCTAGACAACACAAAGACTTCAGTTGGTTTGTTAAGTAACAGTTTAACACCTTTGTTTAAAAAATTGCAGGATGAATTCGAGAACATGAGTGTAAAAAACACATTTAAAACTGTAACCAAAATTACATTGGATTCGTTTTTAAAACCAACAGAACAGTAGTGTAATCTATATAGTATTATGTCTATGAGTATATATTTATTTAATTATTAGCAGTTGACTGAAGACACATACGAGTATTGCAATTGCTGTTCTTGTGAGGTAACCTTATAGACAATAAACCTGTGCCCTACACTTGTTACAAATTATATATGTATGGTGCTTACTGTACCATAATACCAGAACTCTCTCACCCCTCTCATGCACCCCCTGTGATAGACCACATATTGGTGAAATCGTTTGTGGTATTCTTAGAAAAGTTTATCTGTATTTTCACTTCTTCACATAGAGAGGATTGTAGAAAAATGATAATTGCTTGCTGGCCTTGTGTTCTGCTTGTGACATGCTGTAAAGTGTTTATATGTCTAGGCTGTTATGTTTTTGCTGTTTGTTAGCTTCAGGAAAAGAAGGGAAAAAAAGTGGTATCTTTAGTAAATCAGCATATTGGAAAATGAAGAATGCATTTGGATCTTCTTTTGTTATGTCAAATTAGATAATGCATTTGGGCTCTTATATACCATTCATCGAAATTTCTGTTTTATAAGAATGCGAATGATCACAAAAGTTCAGTTCTTAAAATATTGTAGTTTTTATATCCTACTTCCATAGTGAATGGTTAGACACAAATGTGGAGCTTGTTTCCTAAAGGTACCAAATTCAGTATGACAAAATTTTAGCAAATAACAAAAACCTTCTGCTTGTATAATACCCCCTATACTCGTATTTCAATGACTGATTTTACACAAATTATTTGTTATGAATATGAATATATGAATGTTTTATCGCAATTTAGAGCTTTATTATTGAAAGGCGTAATATTGATTTGATACATTCTGGCAGAAAGCTATGGGACATGATACTTGATTTATTACTATTTTTACCTTATTTATTGGTCTGAAGTTTCTTTCATATGTGTAACGTGATGAATTACCCTTTTAGCCACCAAATGAGGATCTTCATATTGTCAGCTTTCCTTCTTCTTTCTGAACATAATAGGCTAGAGTTTTCTTCTTGGTAGAGCGCTCTCTTGTACCTTGATTAGGTCTCTTCCTGTAGAGTGTATGGACATGAAGAAATTTCTCTGGTTTGTCACGTTTTTATTGTACCAGTGTTCTCTGTTAAATGCATTAATACTTTTGTCAGAATGTCCAAAATGAATTGTTATTATGCCTGCAAGAAACTCGTCGTTTTTTTGAAGCATATTCATTTCGTTTCCTTTGCTTAGAAAAATGATTTATTTGTTGCTTAAACAGTGCTCCTACGTTTTGAGGGTGTTCTACTCATCATTGGTTCGTCCACAAACTCGTCAGATACTACACCACAACCTAACACTGCATGGTATTAACTGCACAAATGTACAAGCTGTACAAGACTGGCTGCCATGACACTTGATGGTCACATGACCGAAGCCAGCCTGCGCTAGGTTCGCTAGTGGCTTCGTCTAGGTTTCCGTTTAGAGGCGCTTCAACAGCAAGCGTCCATTGGCTTTGTGAATTCGGTATTTTTTGCTACCCAAGACAGTTTAGAGGTGGTACTTTATGGCGTAAATTCCCGTTTTTAGAAATGTTTATAAATATGATGGACCGCCTCTGTGGTCTAGTGGTGAGAATTCCTGGCTACAGATCCAGAGGTCCCGGGTTCGATTCCCGGCGCTACCAGATTTTCTGAGAAGTAGTGGGTCTGGAACGGGGTCCATTCAGCCTCGTGAGAATAATTGAGGAGCCACTTGAATGGAAAAGTAGCGGCTCCGGTCTATAAAACCGAAATTAACGGCCGAGGGGATCCGTTGCCCTGATCACGCGAAGTTGGCACTAAGTTCGCCGACAAGCGGCGGCCGCTCGGTCGGTATAGTTCGCTTGCGGACTAAAGCCACGGAGTAGCACCTAATGAACACGATGATAGGGGTACGTTATACGTGTAGTTCGAAACTTCCGTCACATGCTACCACGTATAACGAATTTTTCGAATAATTTGGATTTTGTATGTTTTGGAAACAAGCCCCCCACATATGGTTAACATTATGGCAGATAGGCTGTATTTCTCGAGGCGCATTACATGAGCTCGCACTTCTCCAGCAAGCAGTAGGCCTGTTGACTAATCACGTGTTAATCGATGTGCTGCTAGTTTCTCATTTGTTTCGTGATTAACGATGCTTCGAATTGGTTTCCGTTGTTGATTTTATATTCTTTGAGTTACCTTGTCGAGTTCTTTCATATTTGATAGTGTTCATAATACGTTATAGATCTGTGTTACATGACATTCAAGAAACGCTGCCAAATCGCCTACGTTGGAGATTTAAGTTGGGTGTATAAGTAGACGTTTCTTTGGTTGTTGCTTATGCTTTTATATACATGGTCTCCGACTATCCTGGCTTTCGTTGGCCTGTCCGAAATAGAACGTAATTTCATTTGTTCCCTTTTATACGATGGCAGTGGCATTGAAGCTGCTGGTCAACAGAACTAACCCTTTCCACGATAGATTTTATTTAAGGGAACTTCTGTCCTTGGTACAGACTACACCAAGGTACTTGACATCGCTGGAGAGCTGGATTGTCATATTGAAGAGGGTCGGTTCCTCAAGGCCCTTTATATTTCTCTTCCTAGTAAACGGTATAACTACCGTCTTGTTGGAATTGCTGGAGACTTGTTCTTTCACACCATCGTTGGGCCGTGTACAGAGCTGTTTGAAGACACTCTGACACTGTCGAAACTATTAGCAGAATATCAAAGTCGTAGTTTTAACTCCAAGTTACTCTAGAATGGAACATTATTTGCTATGAATTTCAAAATTTTCTAAGCTTCCCCACCAGAGATATGAGATATTAAATATGGCCGATTTTGGGCCCAGAGCAAAGTTTGGAAGCTCCTAGAAAATTTTGGAAAATAGATACGGGGTTCAAAGATACGTTATTATATCCCCCATGTAGACAACAACAAAGAGAAGAAACCACAGCTCTGATACTTTCCCCCTCCCATTGGTTTTTGAAGATCAAAAATAGCATTTTTCCCCAAATCAATAGGTAAGTTTCAAGCTTAATTAGACCTAGAGGAAGTGAGTTGAGTAAAAACTTGTAATGATCTAAAATTGTAGTCCAGATCATGAGAACAAATTGTTTTTCATTGGAGTCTCTAGCATCAACAGTTATCGAGATATAGAAGATAACGCAAACCTCCATTTGAGCCGAAAACGCGTTTTTTCTCATAAAAACGGCTGTACGGGGAGAACCGAGCGGATTAAATTTTTTTAAAAATATTTTTGTAGTATGAAAATATGTAGAATTAATTGGACAAAACGTAATTTTTTTAAATGGTCGCGCGACCTATCTGGATGACTTCAAATGAATGACACTTGCGGTAGTAGCCCTTACGAGTATGTAACGTCCTCTCTCACGAGAAGAAATGTTTGTCTCTAATGAATATGCTTGGCCTTTCGTCAAGTGTACGGATCGCACA